GTCGTTCTTGGCTCGGGAACAGAAGTGCTCAACGTGCTGCAGATAATGCTGCTTTTCTTCAGCCATCTCTGGAGAGGGCAGTGAGAGAGTGGGTGAGTGCAGGTGACTGAGACTAAACATTAGCCAGCGTCCTGGTCATGGAGCTGCTCAAGAGTATGGGGATTCCGCCTTTGTTTACAGCACAAGCAGTCCAGAAGAAAGAGGTCAGAGTAAGGGACAATCTTATTTTAAGAAGGAGTTTCCCATATTTTGGCTTTCTAAGGAATGGGGTCTTTTGCCCAAGGTGGAGCAAGACTTGCCTGAGCCAGTGTGAAGTTCAAAGAGGAAGTCAGAAGCCCTGTCCAGACAGAGGCGCACCCGAGCCATCTCCTGCAGGTATTCAATGGAAGCCTCCTTAGCAGGCTCTGGGCCATGTCTTGATGGGAAGCAAGTCCTCAGGAAATGGCCTTCCTCTTGTAGGTAGTTCAGTTCCTCATTTTCAGAGAAAGCAGCAGTTTTCTCATGTATTGAATCCTAGGGAATGGAGAGTGAGAAAGGCCATTATTTTTAATATGGAAGTCCTCAACCTTCTAACATTGCCTCCATGGTGAGTAAAGGAAGGTTGGAGAACAGATGCTCATGGCTGGAGGCTTGAGCAAGAAAGAAGGGAAAGAAAGACTACAAGGAAAATAGTTTGTAAAATCAAATAGTATTCACCCACCCCGGTCTGTCATTTGTCATACGGTGGTCACTTGTGTGTTCCTATGATGCTGTAAGCTATGTCACTGGTGTATTTCAAATGCCGGCAGGATCCCCCAAAGTGAGCAGGTTTCAGTGGCGCTTCCAGACTAAGAACAGACAACAAAGAAGTACTTGGCTCCCCCCTTTGGAGGAAGCTACCACTGAGAAGCTTTGAAACATTGTCAGATACCGAAGGCCTAATGAACATTGTCGGAGATAGTGCTGGAGGATGGGCCCCTAGGGCCGAGGGCATTCAAAAGGTGACAGAGGAGGAGCTTATTTCTCAAAGTGGAGTCAATTGTGGTGACAAGAGATGGGTAAAGCCTGTAGAAGTGAAGCCATAGGAATCTTCACTTGATGATGGGGTATTGCAAAAATCTAACGATTAGAACTTGGAGTGTGCAAAGTAGGAATTGGGAGTAAAAAACAGAATGCATAAAAACCGATTCTCCTGGCCATTATTGAGCAGAAATGGACTGGTGTTGGCTATTTTGAGTCATAAAATCATCTGACTTACTATGCCTGGGATAACATAATCAAGAGGAATGGCCTGGAATTTATTGTCAAAAAGGACATTTCAAAATCAAGCATGAAGTACCATGCTGTCTATGATAGGATTATGTCTTTTATCTACCTTCAAGGAAATCCAATTAATACAATTAATATTCAAACTTATGTACCAACTACAAAATCTAGTGATGTAAAAATTGAAGAATTCTGTCAATCACTTCGGTCAGAAATTGATCAAACTTGCAACCTAGATGCATTGATAATTACTGGCTATTGAAATGTTAAAGTTGGAAATGGACTTTGGTGATAGAAACAAAGCTGGAGATCACATGATAGAATTTTGCAAAATCAATGACTTGTTCATAGTCAAATACCTTTTTTTCAACAATACAAAAAGTGACTATACATATGAACTTCTCCATTTCGAATACAGTGAACCCTCGCTACTTCGCGCTTCGACTTCCGCGGCTTCACTCTATCTCGCGTAACATCGCGATATTTTTGCGTAACAGCGCATGCTCTGTCATTACTGCCACTGATTGGCTCATGCTGTACACGCTTGATGCCATAAATAATATAATAAATAATAAATGATAATTGTAACATCCAAAATGTTTTACTGTATTTTCC